CGGCGCCGCGCTGACCCCCCGCTACCCCAAGATTGGCTGCCCCTTACCAGGTGCCGCCCCAAGCATGTGCTTGGTTGCCTGGTGCCGGCCCTGTGAACATAGTGTGTTGGGGAACAGTCAGCATGGTTTTTGTAAAGGGAAATTGTGCCTCACCAATCTACTAGAATTTTTTGAGGGGGTCAACAAGCATGTGGACAAGGGGGATTCAGTGGTTACAGTGTACTTAGATTTTCAGAAAGCCTTTGACAAGCTCCCTCACCAAAGGCTCTTAAGCAAAGTAAGCAGTCATGGGATAAGAGGGAAGGTCCTCTCGTGGATTGGTAACTGGTTAAAATATAGGAAACAAAGGGTAGGAATAAGTGGTTAGTTTTCAGAATAGAGAGAGGTAATAGTTTTCAGAATAGAGAGTGGTGTCCCCCAGGGGTCTGTTCTGGGCCCAGTCCTATTTAACATATTCATAAATGGTCTGGAAAAAGGGGTAAACAGTGAGGTGGCAAAATTTGCAGATGATATAAAACTACTCAAGATAGTTAAGTACCAGGCAGACTGCAGAGCTACAAAAGGATCACTCAAAACTGGGTGACTGGGCAACAAAATGGCAGATGAAATTCAATGTGGATAAATGCAAAGTAATGCACATCGGAAAACATAATCCCAACTCTACATATGAAATGATGGGGTCTAAATTAGCTGTTACCACTCAAGAAAGATCTTGGAGTCATTGTGGATAGTTCTCTGAAAACATCCACTCTATGCAGCAGCAGTCAAAAAAGCAAACAGAGTTGGGAATCATTAAGAAAGCAATAGATGATAAGACAGAAAATATCATATTGACTCTATATAGATCCATCGTACGCCCTATTTGAATACTGCGTGTAGATGTATTGGAATTGGAAAAGGTTCTGAAAGGGGCAACAAAAATGATGATGGGTATGGAACAGCTTCCGTATGAGGAGAGATTAATAAGATTGGGACTTTTCAGCTTGGAAAAGAGACAACTAAGGGGGGGATATGATAGAGGTCTATAAAATCATGACTGGTGTGGAGAAAGAGTAAATAACACTTCCATATTTACTTTCTCATAACACAAGAACTCGGGGTCACCAAATGAAATTAATAGGCATTAGGTTTAAAACAAACAAAAAGAAATATTTCTTCACACAATGCACAATCAACCGGTGGAACTCCTTGCCAGAGGATGTTGTGAAGCCCAAGGCTATAACAGGGTTCAAAAAAGAACTAGATACATTCATGGAGGATAGGTCCATCAATGGCTATTAGTCAGGATGGGCAGGGATGGTGGCCCTAGTCTCTGTTTGCCAGAAGCTGGGAATGGGCGACGGGATGGATCACTTGATGATTCTCTGTTCTGTTCGTTCCTTGTGGGGCACTGGCCGCTGTCGGAAGATGGGATACTGGGCTACATGGACCTTTGGTCTGACCCAGTGTGTCCATGCTTGAGCTCAGCAATCGAGGAGGCAGAACAGGTCAGCGCTCCCTGCCCAGCCTCGCTGGGGGAAAAGTCTCCCAACCATCCATCTGGCACCTGACCCTGCAAAGCCCTGGAAAACAGTCACTTTCCAGGAGTTATCTGGCTACTTGCTAATGTGTCAATTCCACCACCCTCTCCCCCTTGTTTTTATCCATTTTAGATTTCAGAGTAACAGCCGTGTTAGTCTGTATCCGCAAAAAGAAGAACAGGAGTACTTGTGGCACCTTAAAGACTAACAAATTTATTAGAGCATAAGCTTTCGTGGACTACAGCCCACTTCTTCGGATGCATGCATGCCACAAGTACTCCTGTTCTTCTTTTATCCATTTTAGAGTTTCTCTTGCCAAGCAAGATGCTCGGTAGGAGCATTGCTGACCTGAACCTCACATTCCCGGGAGTTAAGGCTGTGATACTGGAGAGCCATTTGCTTTGGGGTGAAACTCCCCCACCCCAGGACTCCCAACAGGCTGGAGTTGGGGCCATCCACCACCACCCCAGCTCCAGGGGAGACCTGGCCAGGCTGCCCACTCACCAAGTAGAGGGACAGTCTGTAACCTCAACCTGCCTTTTTTCTCTTCCAGGCTGGCTCTAGTTCTCAGGCCCCTGGGATCTGCTTCCTTCCAGGCACAGCAGAGAGATCCTGCCCTACCAGGGCAGGCCACTGCAGCCTGCTTTCTCCCTTTTCTGTTCCTATCCCCTCCTTCAGCTGGGGCATTTCAGGTAGATGTGAGACAGAGCCCGCTGCAGCTGCTCTGCAGGTTGCATCAATACCCCTTCATGCCCTGCCCCATCACAAAAGTTGTACGTCCCATCAATGACCTTGGCCTTTCCAGAGGTCACCAAAAGGCCGTCAGTCTCTCTCATGGGACTTCAGCCACCTGTCTGCCCTTTTGAGCAACAGTCCTCCAAGAATTGTCCCCTCGAGCCGGAACAGTGAAATCCAGTTCATACACCCTGCTTGCCAGCTGAGTACAGGCAGGAAACCCAAATGGGCCGTTGCCATCAAGGCCCCAGAGAGTCACAGTCTAATAAGTGATGAGCATTAGCATGATTTCTTCTGCAAGGCGGCCACGTTGGCTAGCAGGTCTCTGCTTTGGGGAAGTTAAGGTCACTGATTCCATTTAACAGATTTTAACCAAGAAAACTATGGCAAATGAGTGAGCGGAACACCTGTCGACCCTGCGACCCATGTCCAGCCCCGTGGCGCAGCACTGCCAGCCAGCAATAGAGAGAAGCATTTTGCAACACTGTTGGGCTTGGGAACAAGGAGTTGCAAGACTGGATCAGAACCAAAGTCCATCTAGCCCAGGCTCCCGTCTCTGACAGTGGCCAATACCACATACTGCAAAGGAAGGTGTAAGAATCCAGTAGCAGATGTAGGAGAATCCATCCTGGTCTGGAAAAGGGAGAGAGCAGCTTAAACCCTGAGGCAGGAAGTTTAACATCCCTTCCATCTGGTGATCTCAGAGCACCTCATGAACATTAGAATTGCCTCAGACCCACAACTCAGGGACAATCCTTTAGGGCCAAGCTATTAGCTTCTCGGCTTAGCCACGATAGCACCTTCCACTGATCTCCCCTTCCAGCTGTTGAGCCCGGATGTGGGAGACTGTGCTTACAGATCACCACCCAGGTCTTTTCTTTACCTAGCCTGGGTTTGGGGTGGGGAGACATTACAGGAACCCCCACCTGTTGCCTTTTTGCCCAAACATTTGCTCTCATAAATCTGTTGCCAGCAGATCG